GGACTGTTCAACCCATGGAATACATGGGCAACAGCTACTTTGTGCTAAAGAACCAAGTCATCAAAGCTGAAAGGAGAATGCTGAAGGTTAGTGGTTGTCATCGTTGCCATGATAAAGCCCTGTTGCTAAGGAAAACTGCCAACGCAGTGTCGTATGTATGACTGGCTGTACACCCTTTTAGTGTAAACAATGTGAAATGTCTCACGTGCCCAAGCATACAAAACATGGAGCCTATTGACAGGTGATACGTGTTACAGCCCTGCGGTAAAACTGCTCTTCTGTTAAGAGAGTCCACGGCAACTGTTATATGATAGCTCAATGTTAAGAAATTGTTTCTTTTTTCAGGAACTTGGCTTTTGCGTCCATGTCAAGCACCCTCACAAGGTACGAGTGTGGTTACCTTTTGTGATGCATATTTTGCTTTCTTGTCAACCCTTTGACCCTTTAAGCCACCCCCAAGATCTACATACAAATTCTCCAGACTGGTCTCCATACATTTCTTTTAAGAATAGTTGAGAGAATGTGGTTTAAGATCAAAGCATTCTCTCTTTGGTAATCAATTTAGCAATTCTCATAACCTTTTACTCTTGATGATCTGTTAATATTGTTAGGAGAAAATTGATGTTGGTCAATCTTCGGACCTACAGGGTTAACTCCTAATGGTGACTAAAGGGAGAATTTTGTTTTGTTAACTCCTCCTACAAAATGCAAAAGTTCTGCCAGAGGTTTTATGCACCATAAGATTTCATCCTCAGATTTAAAAGATGGATAGCTTGCTAGCAAGCAATCCAGGGCAGTCTGGCAGCAGCGCTGTAAAAGGAAGGAGAGCTTGCAACTACCTTCAATTCCCCTGTGGCTCTCCATTGACTGAGCTGTCAGATTTTCGCTAATCAGTACAAAGCAGAAATAAGCGCAAAAGTCAACAAACATTAAAAAACACATGCCAAGGGTAATGACATCATAACCAATGTCATCTCCTCTAATCAGCTTTTTCAATTATGCAGATATGTAAATTACTGAGATGTAGTTGTAAGCTCTCCTTCCAGAGGACAGACAGGGAGCAGTATACAAGATCAAATGCTGCGACTGCCAGGCTTTCATTGGTGAAACCGGCAGAAACCTAAGCACGTGACTGACCGAACACAAACGAGCTACGAAGAATGGTGACGTGAACAATCACATTGCTGAGCACCATTTAATGACGAAACATCAAATTGACTGGGACTCTGCGACATGTATAACGTATTCTACAGACTACTATCAACGTCTTACTTTAGAAAGGTGGTTTACTAACTTAGAACAAACGCCACTGAATCGTAGCCAACAGTTACCAGCGCCGTACACACAACTTATTGATGAGATCAAGCAAAACTAACTACGAGAGAATGACAATTTGACTAACAATAGATGACTGTTTAACTGTGACAATAGACGGATCGAAACGCACCAATTACTGATTACGAGTCTTCATAACCAATAACATCACAGCTTAACTGACAGACGACCAATAACATTACGACGTAATTGACCAATCAAATCAACAACCAGAGTATAACACCATCAACTGATGTGATACAACTCACTTTGACTCTGAAGATGACTACTGCGCAGGTTGTCAAAACGTCAGTCACTGTCAACAAAAACGGTCCTATTCAGGATTACGTTCACCCGGATGATCAAACTCAACCTACTTTTGACTATTATTTGTTATCATCATCATCAATGTATTAAGTTCAAAAATACTTGAAGACAAGTTATTTTTTACATCATAGTAAAATCGCTTTGCAGAGCACAAAATTTAAATTCAAAAACATGCTTTTCCATTTGTCTGCAGATCATTATCATGTACCTTCAAATTCTTGAAAGTCAAACCAACACGCTTTTGGCTCAGCAAGCCTGGTATGTACTAAAACAACATTTGTTGTACTTTACTAATCTGTTGAACAAATGATGGCAACCTTCATTTCCTCTGGAATTAAAGGTTGTAACTCTGTCGGTAAACAAATAATTACAATTTACAGTTTTTACAATTGAATAGCTGTCATTCTTTGTCATTATTATGCCCACTATATCAACTCAGCCGATCAAACAAACTCTTTCTCCTTCCCTTTGTTGTTTTAATCTCTTGTCATTGTATTTTATGCCTTTCATCGGTGGCCTGGGCTGGAAATCTACATTATCTTTGTCCTCTCCGTTAACTGTGAGAGTGCTAGTCCTTATCAACATTCAAGATTTTTAATGGGGTCTTCTTCTTTTGCAATTGTAGGAATTTCATGAATGATAGTTTTAGGACAAACATTTTTGTACGCTACCCTCCAGAGACAATAGCCTGTACATGCATTTTCCTCTCTGCAAGGCAGCTTGGGGTATGTATCAGAATTGATTATCAGGTATAAGTTAAAAATTATAAGCATCACTGCTGTGATTTGCTGTTTTGTTACAAATAATTAAATTTATAATGTTGAAATGGATTAAGGCAATTAAGGAGTAATGTTTTAAGGTGCTAGAATATGACCATCTGTACCGTTTATGGCAGGTTTTCAAAAAGAAAAGGGGAAGCAAATAGACCTTTTTAGCTTTTACGTTTTGTTTTCCCATTTCAGAGCACATGATGGTACCCCACGTGCATCCATGTGCATATGTATGCATAATATATGAAATGACAAAAGAGAACAATCACATGGTCTGAATTGGGAAAACAAAACGTACCAGCTAAATAGGTCTATTCTGGGAATTCTGCATTTGTAGCACGCCCAAAAATCCCCTTCCTCTTCTCTTTTAAATGCCCGCCACGCAGGCTAGACCATCCATGCCAGTTTAGTTCTGTTGTTAACAGTGACCTATTGAGGACTACTCTGGCCTGGGCAGGCATATTAATTTTCACTTACTCAAGTACAATCAAACCTGTATTAAGCAGACCTCTATTAAGTGGTCACTTACCAAAGTCCCAGAAACCATTTCCCTTAATTACGGCAAAACTGACCCATATTATGCCATTACCTTTATTAAGTGGTCGTGGTCACCTTTTCCTAGGTCCCAACAAATTATGTTGTATTGTCTTCACCTCTATAGACCTTTGTCAAGCGGCATCCATTGCTGTGCATAAACAAAGCTTTTTCAATCTCCTGAGACAACACAGCCACTGTGTGACAAAGGTCTATTAAACGGTCACTTTAAGAAGATGTACCATAACAGTGCATAACTGTGTATGGCATCAAGTGGTCTTAACTTTTTTTCTCTTGTTCCAAGAAGAGGTGGAAAAAGTAATGGTCAATTTGTCCTGGGATAGATATTTCACCCTTTGACTACCTTCATTTTCTATAATATTTCTCACGTTTGTCAAACCTGTATTAAACAGTCAACCTGTATTAAGCAGTCAGTAAGCCATTCCCAAAGGGTTACCACTTAATACAGGTTTAACTGTAATTGTGACTACAGTTACAAAACTTGGGGACTTGGCTTTGCATCAAAAAAGTACAATATTACATATTTTATTTAAGTCTTGCTCAACCGTAATATCGACAACACTGATCGAGTATTACGGTAGAAGTTTTGTTATTGAAACAAATTGACCTGCATGTATTAACAATGTGGAACCTTGATGCTAACTCAGTTTCCGTTGTAGATTTGCTTACCCACAAGACCGCCATGGTGGGAGTTGTTTGGGGCCAAAATAGAAGATCTTGAGGTATGTTGTTTTGACAATCATTTATGAATTACATGCACTGTTAGATGTTACATTGTAAGTATTGTACACCAAAAACCTTTTTCTTTATTTCTAAAAAACAACTAATGCTCTTCAAAAGCATAGCCATTAGTGGTGTTGAGTTTTTGTCCAGACTAAAAAATAAGCATAATTTTACATTTTAATATCTCTGAGAGTACTGCTGAGAGTAAAAAGTTGAGGTGTTTGAGAGTTCCAAGCCTCAATTTGTTCACAAATTCGTTTTCCTGATACAACACTGACGATAACAAACCGATGTGTGAATTATTTCCTTTTAAGACCTCGATATCTGTCTGTTGTCATGATCATGTCTTCAAGTTAAATTTCTTAATTGTTTCAATAGTTATCACATTTTGTCTCTGGAGAATCTGAATGTATGCTTTATGTTATCTTAGGGTGCTTTCCATTTGTCAGAGCTGACTGGCCAGACCGTTTCAGTCATAACAAGAATTTCACTTTTAATCAAAACTATCCAGTCAGATCAGTCAGATCCCAAATAGCGTGCACAAAGGAAATGGTGTTCAACAAAAACTCTTGGAAAAAAGCATGTTTCATTGTCAAAATGACTTGTCTAGCTATGGTACCGTCAGCCAGTTCTGACTTTTGGAAGGTGTCCTCAGTAAAAAATTAGTTCATGTACTTTTCTGCGTTAATTGAGTAAACAACAACTTTGTTTTGTTCTACCTGATTTTTTCACAGGAAATTAGCCTGACGCTGTTAAGTTTGTACCTGAGACCAAAGGTGAATATTTAGTTGAACTCTACTGTTTTCGTTCGAAATTAAGGTACACTTTTCTCAAGTCAATGCCACTTCGGTTCTGTGGAATTCACTTTGTTTAGATTTAGTTGCTACTGAGAAAAAATCCAAATAAATTAATCTATTGTTAGCCTCCCAGTTCGGTTTAATGAAGCAGGACTGTTAGTTTTCCTTATTAGTCCTGTAGAGGTTTATCTGTAACTTCGTGAGTACAGTCGAACCTCCACTAACGGCCACCTCTCTACAATTGCCACTTCCTTCTGTCTCCAAGGTGGCCATTGTAGAGAGGTTGAACTGTAATCATTTGTTGTCGGCTGGGATGGAAATTACTTTGTTCTTTTAAATAATATTCCTGATCAGAGAACCCGCTTTTAGGCTGTTTCAAAAGAATGCTGTTTTTAAAACTATTTTGCAGTTCTGCAAGAACCTTAAACCATTACATTCTGAAAGCGTCCAGAATCTAAAATTTCTCTTCAACATTACACCACTTCCTATTCAAACATTTATAGAAGGATCATAAAGGAGGTGACCATCCAAGATAAAATGCCCTTATTGTTGAGTGAATTCCATTCCTCAGCTAAACAGCATCGAGAGGAAAGGTCTCTTGCCTTGAGACATTCAGGGGTAAACTGGGAATAAATATGTCAAATTTGTGAATGCTTTTCCAGTGTTGTGTGTCAACCAATCATATGTCTTGAAGTTGCAAGGTAATGTATAAGTGAATTGAAATTTTTAAATTGTAATGGACAATCTTTAGGAATTCCTTGATTAGTTTATCTTCAAATTCTCGCATATGAATCATAGGTTTTTGATTGATTTTTGTTTTTGTTTTTCTGAGGGCCATGTGTAGATTATAGAGATATTAAGTGCTACCCTCAATAAAAATTGTTATTAGTGGTAGTGGTAGTGGTAGTGGTAGTGGTAGTAATGCATCAGTTTTTTTTATCACAGGCCAACCTAGACACCCTACAGAAATCTGTTGGAGAAATTCGCAAAGAATTGGAGCAGAAAAAGAAAGAAACTAAACAAGATGGTGCTGGCACCGTTGGTAACTGCACTCCTAACCTGTCTCCTGTAGGGGTAACTACAACAACTGCGAGGGACGACTCCCGGTCAGGTATGTACTGTCATCTACTTCATTAAAACTGGATACTTTTTTGACGATTCACGGGGCATTGTCACAGCCACGCGTTCTTTGTGTCGTCACGCAATGCTCCTCTTGTGGGGAGGAACATTGCGTGACGGCACAAAGAACGGCTGTGTTGCAGACTAATTGTCACAGGGATTCTCTCAATCTTTTAGGAGTGATCAGGATCAAAATTCTTCTTGTGATATCAGTGTTTTATAGAACACTTAGGGTGGCGAGAATTAATGACTTGATCACATAAAGTGAATCTAGTTGATTCTTGGACACCCCCTACTACTTTATATGAAACTTGTAGGGACAGCAAATAAAAATTTGAATTATGATAGTAGTGTTTGATGGACATAGGCCATGTTAGAGTTGCCCAAGCCTTTGCTGAAAACTCGGAAGTGGCTTTTTTGTCATTGTTCACTCCCAGTTAATTGGCTTTTTTGCTCATTGATAAAAGCACTGCACCTGTGTCGCAGAGGTCCTACGTCCAAGTGGGTCATGGGTTTTCGCTACTGCTTTAGTTTTGTTCATAACTGCGGTGACCTTTCACGTCTTAAACCTCCCTCCTGCTGTTCAATTATGTAAAATTCATATATTATTCACTTTTATGACAGCTAATGCAGAAAGTCAAGGGGACCTATCAGATCTTGTAGCAAATACATGTGGCCTGATCTATGGGATAAGTTGTACAATTTTGGATCGTGGCAGTTGTGACATAAGATTTTTAACCTTACAGCCACTTTCCTTGTAGCCCGCGTTGCAGGCGTCGAAAGGGGTAGGGGATTGGGAGAAAGAGAAAAGGAAGGAGGATTTGGGAGAGGGTGATCCTTTTTCCCTTTCGCGCTTTTCTCCATCTTCCACTTTCCCTCCCCTTCCCTATTTGCGCCCGCTGCGCAGGCTACCACCCACCCTAAATCAATTACTTTTAACGTCAAATCAGGTTCGAGGCCTTCTTCACCAAGTAAAGTGTCGCCATCATCTGCTACAAACCAGGCTGACGGGAAAAGGAAGAAAAGTTCCTCTAAGGTGGACGAGGATAGGAGGACGAGAGAACGGTAAATAAACTTTGTTTTTCTCTAATTATGATGCAAGCATTATTAACCCTTATGCCCGTGATGTTATTGTTTCCCTTCAGCTGGGGCCAATTCATTGTAGCCGTGTAAACTAGCAACTGGATTTACGTTTTCTTGCGTTGTTTCGTTATTGTCAAGTGGTTGACATGACATGACATGTTCTCTATGCTGTCTTTTGTACATTCCTTTTAGTTTTAATCAGGAGAATTTGTTTAAATAGCGTTACATTATTTTATTTTCATGCCCTTTATTTGATCAGCACTGATCTTTTTACGCGGCCGAGAAATTAGATAATGGAGGCGCTTTAAGACTGTGGAGCTTTCGACTCGTCGTTGTCTGGTTATGGATTTGCATGTTTAGAGTACGTTTTTAATTTATTTCTGCTTAATCTGCAGGGAAAGGCGCCGCAGTCATTCCCCGGTCAATCGCCGCTCTCGGAGCCGTTCGGAAAGTCCAACACGTAGTCGCTCTCGTAGCCGTTCGAGAAGTTACAGCATATCAATCAGTCCCGATAATCCCAGTAGGAGTGACTCTTACAGCAGCGACGAAAGCCCAGAGAGGCAAAAAGTGACTGGGAAGAGTAAACGACCACGGAGCCCTGCCCGAGGAAGGGACGACGAAAAACGCTCTCGGCCTCGGAAGTACGACGGAGAGTACGTTCGGAAAAAGGGGAGAACCGACGGAAGTGTGAACAGTTATAAAAAGGACAAAGTGCGGGAACGAAGTAGGTCGCCGTTGTCTCGGAGCCGGAGTAGATCTCGGAGCAGAAGCCGAAGCCCGACAAGACTCAAACGGCATCGTGGAAAATACGAGCGGGAAACGAAGAAACGAGACGACAGACATCGCGATAGGAATGGAGTGGACTATCGGTCGTCCAGGGACAAGGGACGTGATCACGGAAGGCACCGAAGATAACGCTAGTGAAATTTTTGTAATTTTCTGTACATAAACTTCCCGGGTGGAAGAACTAATTCAAATAGCAAATTACAGCAAGTGCTTGTTTGAAAAACGCCTCATCTATATGTCCATTGTATTATGTGTGATATGTTGCGTTTTGTAAGAGTTCATTTATAAGCTTCTCAGCCGCTTACCTTGTACAAGGCGTCAAGGCTATTAATCCGTTTATTAAAGAAAGCTACTGCTTTGTAAAATTCCTTTGTTGAATGTATTGTGTTCAGCTTTTATCGTACCTTTTTTTAGAGTGAAACTTATCAAAGTCACTTGCTTTATAGCTTGTACACAGACGTTGTTTTATTTTTGTTGTCGCGATTCGATAATCGGTGAGCACGAGAGGAAGAAAAATAAAGAACGTCTATTAAATTTTTCTTCTTCCCCCACCCCTATCCCCGTGTGCTAGGGGTCAATAAATCCCCTGCGGTTTTTATTTTTATCATGCCCACTCTACGGACTTGAGAAAATAGGGGTCTGTGAACAGGCTACGTGCTTTGCCCCTTACACCTGATAGGCCCCAAGAAAGACACCCCCCCCCCCCCCCCGGCGCCTTTTAAGCCCCAACCCCCGAAAAAAGAAAAAACCAACATTTATTAGCGATATTTACTGCCGAACTGAGAGATGTCATAACTTAATCTTCCCGTTTGGTTTTTACGTGTTTTTTTTTTTGAAGTTGCTGCCCTTAAGCCCCCCACCCCCTGTCCGACAGCCCGGAATCCCCA